AGATTGAGTTTTGAAAATAAGCTTGATCAGTTACAGTTTGGTGAAGTTATGCCTTTTTTGTATATAAGTGTTTTTTCCTTAAATTTAATTCTCAGGCATGTTAACAGTCTCATTTTTGAACTGTTTAGATATGTTAAGTTGTTCTTTTGACATTTTCTGCATCTTAACAACGTTGTTAGTTGATTATATAAAAATAATGGTAAACCTGCTATTGAGTATTATGTAATTAGTGTCAAAATGGAAAAAAAAACTCGTATCTTTACAGTTTGTCAGATTCAACCATTCACTATGTTCAGAATCTCAGAATGGATCAAGTTGGACATTTATAATTGTTCTATTGATATTTTTGCTTTGACAACATATTTTTATTGATCATATAAAAATGACAATAAATTGATTATTTTGTTTTATGAAACAAAGGTGTTGAAAATGGATATAAACTCTTTCAATACAGTTTTCTCTTGTTTACATTTTGGTATTTTCAAAGTATGACTCTGAACTCTATGGGCTAGTCACATTTTCTGAATATCCATGATACTTTTATTTTATTATTAAAAAAATTATGGTTATTTATTTATGCTGTTAAGCATTGTGTAATATTGCATCAAAATTTAACAAAACCCTATTCTGGGCACTGCCTCCGTAGTGGCGGTGAAAGGAAAACCATGTCACTTGCTCTTCTCACACTTACAGGAAAGAAACGGGATTGAAATACAGCTTCAGTTGAAAAATTGTCTCATTAGTTAGTTATATTTTTATCTTTCACATGTTGCAATTTTCAATGTGGGACTTGGAGCTCCCTTGGGCATGAGGCCAAGTGGTAATCAAATTTTCTTAATGTTTATGTTTTTAATAGTAGATATTTAAAAATTGGTGGTATTTATACAGTTAATCATTATGTAATGTTGCATCAAAATTGACAAAAAACCTACTTTGTGCTCTGCCACCATTAATGTTATGTAAAGTAAAGTGTTAAGTTATTTTTTAACTAGTCTTACAAGAATGATTCATAGGATTGACATACAGCTCATATTAGAAAACCAGCTCTATTGGATTATCATTTTTATTAAATTTATGCATTTTTTTTGTGAAATTTTCATTTTTTTCATTCTGGCACTTTCTAATTGTAAACTTGAACTCTGATGGGCCTGAAACCTTATGCTTTTACTTTCATCAGTGTTACCTGTTGTGCATAATTAAAATTTGATGTTGATGGTGCAGTTAAGCATAATGTATTATTGCATCAGAATTGGCAGTCTGCCATTTTGTGCATTATTATTTTCTGCTTTTCTTAAGGTGTGACTTATGAACAATATATATATTATATCTAACTATATATATTAGGATTTCAAACTCCCTTTTGTACAGAAAATCTCAGGATCCGCTCCTGTTATTGACCATGTTACCTGTTGTGCATGATTAAAATTCAGTGTTGACTGACTGCTATTTTAAGCATTATTTACTATTCCATCACAATTGAAAAAAAATGACATTTTTGCATCATTATTTTCTGTTTTTGTCTGTACATTTGTCAGCTTTGCTGCCTTGTTTATTCGTCTTTTCATAAAAAGAAACTCATCAATCGGCCTCATGTAATAGTTAAATGCTTATTTACAAAGAAAAAATGAGACATAAATTTCCGTTATAGCTTTAGTAAATTTTCAATTTCAAACTCCCTTTTATATACAAAATAGGATTTAGATCAACTCCAGGAGCATCTCATATGATTTGAAATTTATTTTTTAACTATATTTAACGAAACTCTTATAACCTTAAAAGCCGAGATATTCCACCATTTCTGACATCCTATAAATCTTAGATAAATAAAAAATAAACCCAATTCAAAAATCCATGATTTTCTTTTTGGTTAAAACCACCTAGTGGCAGACCGGTGGGTCCCGGGCTGGTATTGTTTTTAATATAAATTGTTATTGACATACTTTTCTTAGCTTCAGAACATTTCAAGTATAAATGCTTCTGACACTACAATGTTTATTCAATAATACTTATTTTTGAAATGTAATTGTATCATTGCCAACAAATTACATTACATGTTTTGAAACAGCTGCACTGGCTTCAAGTTAGAGCGCAGGTCTTAGGCCTACTTTAAATTTAAGCTATTGTTCATACAGTATTTTACCCAGTCCTTACTGTACTAAGTCCAAAAGTATATTCTAAATGGTAACTTAAGATCATTTAATAAATAAGTAGGCTTTTTTATGTGTACCACAGGCGGTACAAATAACCTTCAACCTTCTGCGCATAGTTACTGTAGGCCTACTCCCGCTCCACCAAGCTTTTTCCTCCGCTAGCCTATGGCCCAGAAGAGGACCTTTTTTTAAAACCATAGGCCTATCGGTAAAAAACATTTTATTCGTGATGAGACAAAAAAAAAAAAAAAAACTGAAGCAACTCTGCGTGTACCTACGTAAATCGTATCGAATTCCGGGCTGTTGTGCAAATGGACCAAATTTATCCAGAGTGGACATATTCCCAGCAAACAGAAGCAGAGTTATTTCGAACAGGGACGTGGAGATGGCTATGAGGAGGGGCAGGGACCTGGAGGCCACGGGGAGGGGCAGGGTGGGGTCAATACACACTCTACACATCAGGACTTGACTTTTTAATGATGGCAATGGGTCAGTCTTGGCCGTCTACATGTTTCTAGGACAATTGCCTCAAGACAACCCCCACCCCGAACAGTTCCCCCAAGACACCCCCACCTTCTCAGAAAAAATAGGGCCTACTCTGGTTTTGAATTATCTATATCATACATCTCTCCCA